CTGATCAGTACAGAACAAAGTAGGACTCTCACCTCCCTTATTTTCTGTCTCAAACGAGTATTTCTAACACTACGGCCAACGAGAGACTTTGCTCTTTTGGCAGCCGTATCACACCGTTCAGTCCCAGGGAGCTTACCACAAGCTCAAACCCTAAGTTTTTCTTTCTATTCATGCTGCTAGTAAATCATATTTTCCACACCCTATGTTTACGCAGTTCCTTTCCAAAATGCAGAACCTAGCCCATGGCAGAAGAACCAGCACGCATGCCTCCCGACTCTGGGTCCTAACCAAGATGTGTCTCAGGGAGAGGTCCTCCCAGCTCCTCAGCACCGGGAGCACAGCTGCAGACCTAGGATCAGAAGAAAGCCGGAGACACAGGACCCAGTCTACAGGCAGCTCAAGGGGCACCCTCCCTCCAGCAGCTTCCTGGAAACACACTGTCTTCCAGTGACACACTGTCCTTCCTGTTTCACCCCAAGAGGACAGCTCACTCCTAACGCTGCATAGTAGAGGCTCTTTGAACCCTCAGTAATGTCTCAATAACTGCAGTTGATTTAACACACCTTTATCAAGAACCTCAGGCACAGTGCTAGGCATGGAGGGAAAGTCACAAAGTTAGATGAGCCTATAACCAGAATTTCATCAGGAGAGACCCGCCTCCAACGTTAATGCTAATTAAGTGTTAGAACACTTAGAGAGTTTGGAATCTTTCACCTGTTTCCTCAAAAGCCAAAGATGGGGCAGTAAGTCCTGGGACTGGAAATTTGAGCAGAGAGAATGACAGTGTTTGCAGGACCTGGATGATGCATGTGGAGACCAAAGATTTCTAAAAGCAGAGGAACCCTGGCTTGGGCGTGTGGGATCAAGAGTCATCCAGCGCATGAAACCAAAAAGTGAAGCCCAAGATGAGAAGAAGTGAGTGGGCCAGCCCGTGGCTCACTCGGTAGAGTGCGGTGCAGATAACACCAAGGCCCCGGGTTCGGATCCCACATAGGGATGGCCGGTT